AATCAATGCATTTCATATTGAGAGTCTGAAATTACACAGGGCTTTAGAAGTTCCAAAACCTGCTTTTAGATTGCTCAGTCATATAGTTCTAATTCTGGGAAAGTGCTCAAAGCACCGTGTAAGAGATTACATCATTTCTAGGAGCATCTGGGGCTTGCTAAATAAAAGCTGCTGGGAGGATAAGCTCTGTCATTGGATAGGAAACACCATAAGTGAAATCATCGCCAATATTGATCATGTGAGTTTCCACTGACAGCCCATGAGCCATTTAATATGCTGTTGCCTTAACGCTGTGACTTGTGACCCCACCTGGTGCAGCTGAATCACCAGAAGTTTGGTTGGAGGTAATGGTTATGGGATCCATGGTTGGCCTTCAGATCTTCTAGAAAGGAAGAGAAGCAATCACCTGTTTTCTTTTTCCCTCCCATGGCTTAAGAGTCCCACAGAAAGCCTATTCCTATTAATTTGTTTTCTTTGACTTAATATATTTGAGAAAGGATTAAAAGGAAACACTGTACTAGAATAGTAAAATAAAGAGATTTTGCAAAGCTTGCCAGAGATCTGAAGTTTGCCCAGGGCCTCAGGGACCAGTACAGCCCAGCAGTTGAATTTTATTGTACATGTAATTTCCCCAAACGATGCCTTTGATTCTTTACAGTAAAGGTGAGATTGACTTCAGATTTTAGGCCCACAACTATATTTTTAAAGGCTTTTAAATCTTCTTTGGGTCATGAATGCCTTTGCAGACTGGCTAATAGGCACACGTCAGCACGTTTCAGTGATTCCTTCTATTTTGAATTTCCCTTTCCGTGTTTTCTCTGATCCTTCCACTTTGTATTTAAAGTTGGATTAGTTCAATAAAGCAAGCGGACAAATTTTCTTGATGTGGATCTTGGGAAAATAGTCCAGAGTGATTTTTCCCCCTGCTTTCTCATTCCCAAGCAATATGCTTCAGCAATACAAGTTACCCCGTAAACTATGGGACAGATGATATAAGTAGAAAAAAACAAGAGGCTTGGTAGCCTAGGAATATTTGAGTACAGGGACTATCGCTCTGCCCCAGCACCAACCTCACAAGTGGTCTTGCTGTTGTTGTTTGGAGAATTGAAATAAATAGATGTTTGTTTTGTTTCTTGGGGGATGTTTTCTAATAAGAACTCTGCCAGAAACCCCAATCCTTCTCACCCAAGAGACAGGATTTTTCTTAGGGAGAATAGCTTCTCTTTCTATACAGAATTAGGAGGAAAACTCTAGCCTCTCATGAAACTTTGGTTTCAACTTTTAGTTCTTCCTTTCATTTTGTTTTTATTTCTTGGATTATCTATTTTTCTTTTCCTGTGCTGTTGAGCTGAATTCTCAGCTCATGACTTTTCAGTGATTATTCTTTACTAACAGAAGCATTTAAGTCTATGCATTTCTCACTGTGACTACATCCCATAAATTTGTGATACAGTATTTCTATAATTGTTCAGTATGAAGTACTTTAAAATTTAAATTATTTTTTCACTGACCCATGAATAATTTAAAAATGGATTTTTTAATTCATACATGTTTTGGGAAGGTTATCTATGTCGCTGATTTCTCGCTTACTTGCATTGTGATTTTTGCATTATAGACTCTCTAACACTGGTTAAGATTTGCTTTGTGGGGCCGGCCCGGTGGCGCACTGGAGAGTGCGCCGCTTGGGAGCATGGTGGCGCTCCCGCCGAGGGTTCCGATCCCATGTGGAGACCGGTTCCTGCTCACTGGCTGAGCGAGGTGAGGGCGCAACACCGAGGGTTGTGATCCCGTTGCCGGTCCCCGGTACGGGCACGACACCGAGGGTTGCAATCCCGTTACCAGTCAGTAAAAAAGGCAAAAAGGAGAAAAAAAAAAAAAAGATTTGCTTTGTGACATTATAATATAGTTAGCCTTCATAAATACCCCATGTATATTTCAGTATAATGTATATTTGTTTATTTCCATTGGATCAAGCTTGTGATTCATGTTTTTCAATCTTTTCTGTCCATACTGAGTGTTTTGTTGTTTGATCTATCAGTTTCGCCCCATGTATATTTCAGTATAATGTATATTTGTTTATTTCCATTGGATCAAGCTTGTGATTCGTGTTTTTCAATCTTTTCTGTCCATACTGAGTGTTTTGTTGTTTGATCTATCAGTTTCAGGGAAAGCTAGGTTAAAATCAGCCTTTATGTTTGTAGATTGGATGTATGTTGAGGTTATCATATTAGGCACACACAACTGTAAAATTGTTATATCTTCTTGAGGAATCATTCTGTTTATTAATTGTAGTTTATTTTATCCCTAATAATGATTTTTTTCCAGCTCTATTTTGGCTTCTTTTTGCTTGGTATATATTTTAGTATCAATTTACTTTGAATCTTTATGTGGTTTTAGTTTTAAATGTGTTGCTTGTAAACAACATACAGATAGATTTTTAAAATCCAGTCGTAACCATTATCTTTCAAAAGGTGAGTTTATCAGTTTGCATTTATTGTGCTTTCTGATATGTTTAGAATTACTTCTACTCAATTACTTGGTGCTTTCTATTTACCTTGCTTTATGTTTATATCTTTAATTCTCCATTTTCCCCTTCTATAGATAGGATCAATAAAAGTTCATTACACCTTTTCCCTCTGCTGGTTTCAAAGTTTTATGAATTATTTCTTTAGTTTTGATGATAACCCTTACATTTCTTCTGCACATACTTAACAAGTCTGAAATTGATCCGTTTGCCATTTTTCTCTTGAACAACACAGCACTTAGAATGCCACTCCAACTTACATTACCACTGTTCAGCATTTTAGAACCATCCTCCTTTTGTAGACCCCATGTTAGTTGTTATAATGTTTATTTCAAACAAGCAAATCTTTAGATTTACACCACATTTTTAACTTTTTGTTCACTGATGATTGTTGCATCTCCTGCCTTCTGAGTTGAATTTCCTATTTCTGAATTATATCTTTGAAAGACCTGACAGTGAGGATCTGTTAGTGGTAAACTCCTCCTGACCTTTTAGATGGGAATATATTTATTTTTCCCTGAGTTTTAAGTGATAGTTTAGTACGGTTAGAAAAATTCTATGTTGACAGTTATTTGATGGTATTATTCCATTCTCTTCTCTCTTTAATTGTTGTGGCAAGAAGTCTGTGCTCTGTCCTGTCATTCCTTGAAACCCATGTGTCTTTTCTTTCTGGTTGCTTTTAAAAGTTGTTTTGTCTCAAAGTTTATATTTGGATCACATTTAATTTATTCTGCTCAAGGCTCATTCTACTTCCTGAGTCTAAGGATTCATGTTTTGGATTAATTCTAGATAATTCTCACCCATTATTCTCTTTGAATATCATCTCTCCCCCTTTTTCTCTCTCATCTCCTTTGGAAATATATTTCTTGGGCTTCTTCATTCTGTCATCCATGGTGCTTAATCTCACATTTGTATTTCCCATGCCTTTAACTTTTTATCTTGCATTCTGGGTAATTATCTCATATTTATCATCCAGTTTACAAATCCTCACTTCAGATATATTTAATCAGGTGTTTAAGCTGTTCATGAAGTTTTTAATTTGTCAGTGTAGTTGTCATTTCTAGAAGTGGTATTTGGTTCTTTTGAAGTCAGTTTTTTGCTTAAATCATATATTTTTTATTTTTTTCTTTAATATCTTTAATAATTTTAAACCTACTTTATAGTCTCTATATGAAATTCTTGGAGATTAATCCTGTCCCACGTTGCATTTGCTATACAAGGGTACTTCAAAAAGTTCATGGAAAAATAGAATTGAGAGATAATATAAATCTTTCTGTGAACTTTTTGAAGTACCCTTGTTCCATGGTGGATTGTATTTTAAATTTCTTATTTTGTATTTTGAGTTTGTCTTTGACAGAGACCTTATGGGAATACTACTGTGGGGCGTGGGTTGTGGACATGTTCCTCTAGAATAGGTTTTTGTGTGTTTTTGCCATGTGGCTATAGATATTTCAGCCCAGTTCCAATTTTTAAGTTAATGTGTTAGCATGGGTGTTCCCAGAAGGTATATATGGTGTAGAGGGCAACTTCAAACTTAAACTGCTGTGTAATACAGGTACACAGTTACACATTCTCAGGGGCAACTTCACCCTTCACCCAAAACCCAACTCAAGAGATGCTTTTTTTTATTGACGATCATTTAGCTAAAATGATCTGTTTTTTCTTTAATGCTAGCCTTTGGGGGATTTCTTTATTTTCTTGCAAACCCAGAAAGGATGTTTGTTCTATTTTATTTGGAATTCTAGGAATTCAGTGGTAAAGGGTTTTGGGGAAACTAAGTGTGCCATGTTGTCAAATACAGACTTCCAGGGGAAGTCATTTCCCTGTATTTTAAAGAGATCATATATTCAATATTACCTCTAATGTGGAATAATTTCAGCATATCACTTATTTGCAATGGATTTCTAGAATGTGAAACATTTGTGGATTAAAATCTATTGAATCACTTTATTCTTTTAAACTATCAAGGAACTATTCTTTCTAAATTTGCATTGGGAATTTCTTGAGATCATGTCCATTAAATAACAAATTCTATATTGGAATCTTGAACACAGTGAGTATAGAATAATAAGACCAGAGGCTATTTGGAATGCTTTTTTCATCACAGCTTTCATAGGAATGAGTAACAGAAACTCAACTCCAGTTGGCTTAAGTAAAAAAGGGATATTTGTTGACTCATACAGCTGAAAAACCCTGGAGTTTATTGTTCAAGCACAACTAGATTCACGTGTTCAGAAAATGTGATTGAATCTCTTTTAGTCTCTTGGTTCTACTTTCTTCTGTATTGGCTTCATTCTCATCTGGATTCTCTCCTTATGCAAGATGTTTCCCAACACCCCCAGTTAAATCGGCTTCTCTTTCCCAGAATTCTGGGAAATGAAGGAAATGGAAGGAAATGGAAGCTGGGTGAGCAAAGCACAACAAATGTCCCCCATAATCTACCTAATTCTTTGTTTGTATTTGCTGTTCATTTCAGGATAGTGTTGAGTTCAGAAACATCTGCAGTCATTTGGCTCTACAAATTGAAGGACAGCAGTTTGACAGAGACTTGAATGCTGCCCACCAGTGTTTGAAGACAATAGTCAAGAAGCTGATTCAGTCACTTGCAAATCTTCCTTCAGATGCCCACATGGTAGCCTGTGCTTCCTTGAGACAGATCTTGCAGAATCTTCCAGACGTATGAATGTTAAAGACATCGGGACTAAAACCACAGCTAGCACGACTGAGAGAACTGGATCCCTTACCAATCTTCCTTCAGATGCCCACATGGTAGCCTGTGCTTCCTTGAGACAGATCTTGCAGAATCTGCCAGACATATGAATGTTAAAGACATCGGGACTAAAACCACAGCTAGCACGACTGAGAGAACTGGATCCCTTACCTTCCTAATGGAATCAGCAGACAATGAATGTTTTTATTCCCAAAAAGGAGTGACTTGATAGCCCGTGGAGCAGTCTGACCAGTGGCATGGGTAGCCTTCAGAATTAGAGCATGTTAGTAAAAATTTTTTAAAGCAGTAGTTCACATTTTTAAGTATGTTGACCTATTTGTTGACTTTTTGATTAAAATATATTCCCCTTTGTGGAACTGATTGGATTATAATGTATATATTTATTAGTTCATATTAAGTATTAGTTTTGATCAAATGATACCTTAATCTATATTCATATTAGTGTAGGCCTATAAGGTTTAATTAATATGGTTATTTATATGATTAAAGCTCCATGGTTCTTAAAATTATCTTGAATAAGTGGGATATTTGATCATCGATATGTTCTGCTTTACTGGGTACTTCATTTTATGTTATGAGAACAATCTTTAGTTGTAGGACCACATGTGTCAGTAATTATGAGTTCCAATCCTGGCATTAATAACTTACTGTTGGGCAGAAGAGTTGCTTCCAAACTTTGTACTTTCATATACTGATTTCTAAGTTTAAAGTGATAATGAGCTATGAAGTTCCAAGGATACATGATATGTAAATCCGAAGCACAGTATTATTAAAGTCTCATGTGGAAACATCTAGCTCTTCTTACTGTTTCTGAATATTCAGACTGAAGTAGGAAATTCTTGGAGAAAGAAAGAGGGAATGGATATACTGACAGCTTTCCCTAAACAACATTTAAAGGGTGAATTTTTTCTTTTTTTTTTTAACAACAATCTGCTCACACTTAGGAAAAACTAAATTTCTTATTGTGCAGTGATGACTGTGTTGAGAACCAAAGTAACGTGAAATGCTGCTTTTCCTTTAAAATTTTAATAGAAACAGCATCAGATTTAGGGAAAAAAGAGGTTGTGGTGCATATGTGCAGCTTGTTTTCTACGAGAATTATAAACTGGGTCTGGGTGGTGGAGAGTATTTCTACTATTAAAAAGAAGTGTTAGTATTAATCAAAGCCTTTGTGACCCTACCTACTCTATTCCGAGTTGGTTTCAAATGTTTTCTTCCAGAGTCTGAGGATGAAAGGTGAATATATTGCTTCTCTTTAGATATAACTGGCCATCTCTGTAGAAGAGAGTTAAGTACATGAGACTGAATTCTAATGAAAAGATAGAAGCTGTATGTGGGGGGTGGGGGGCATGAGGCGGGGCAGAAGGAAAGGGCATTTATTTCTTGGGAATAGTCTTTGGTACTCAGTTCTCCTGCTCCTAGGAAATACCATATTCTGGGGGGATGACTTTATTTTACAGTGAGGTCTTTCTTCCTCTAGGGAAATTATCCCAGTACTTTTCTTTAAAGACCCATCATTATTTGCAGGCTGCCTACCCTGTGGTAATTAAAGTTTCTCTCAATGAATATTTTTTGAACATTTTTGCTTTTCCATCTGTGCTTGTGCTTTTTCCTCACTTTGTGCCATGTTTCCCAAAGACTGATTAAAATCCTACCCGTCCTTCAAGGCCTGTCTACCCGTCTTCCCCTCTGTGAGCCCCCGTCGGTCATGCTAGTGGAGGTGAGCTCCTCCTCTTCTTAACTCACACAGAACACATCTGATGCTACATCTCTGGCATTTATCACATGCTGCCTTGGCTGTTGGTATATCTGCTGTCAAGATCAGCTTACGGAGGGCAGGAATTATCTAGACAGCTCTGCATATTGCACAGCATCTGCAGTTCTTAAAGTTCTCTGGCCCTGCTAGATCGTCCACTGCCTCGCCACCTTTTCACACTGCTCACCCACCCCCTTCTAACTTCCGTGGCTTATGTTCTGTGGTCAGTCTGTACAATCGCTTGGTTGTACATGCCACCAACTCCCTTCCCCTTTTTTTCCTTTGATTGAATGCCACTTGCAAAGCTATATTCCTGGTCAGGACCAAGCCTCTGCCTGCTCCACCTGTGCACATGAGTTCTTTTTTTTTTTTTTTTCAAAAGATGACCGGTAAGGGGATCTTAACCCTTGACTTGGTGTTGTCAGCACCACGCTCAGCCAGTGAGTGAACCGGCCATCCCTATGTGGGATCCGAACCCGGGGCCTTGGTGTTATCAGCACCGCACTTTCCGAGTGAGCCACGGGGCCGGCCCTGCACATGAGTTCTGAATGTGGCTGGAGAACACCATGCAGCCGCGCCATCTCACTTCAGTTCATGGCTCCCAATCCCCAGGAAGCCTCACTGTTTTCCAGTAGCCCACATACGGCTGCTGAGCACTTGAAATGGGTCTAGTCTGACTTGAGATGTGCAGAAAATGTAACGTGCACACTGCCTTTTGAAAACTTCATACAAAAAAAAGAATTGAAAAGATCTCATAATTGTTTATGCTAATTACATGTTGAAATGATAGTATTTTGCATGCATTGGGTTAAATAAGATATATTATTAATATTAATTGTATTTGTTTCTTTTTACGTTTTCAATGTGGCTACTAGAAAATTTGAAGTGCCATTGGTGGTTCACATTATATTTCTATGGGATAGTGCTGAACTGGAAAATTCACCAGACAATTCACTGCTGACCTTGACAGTTCACTCTCTGAAGGTTGTTTCACGCCTTCTCAATCTTTATCCTTCTTCACTCTCCTCGTTGTCAGCTGATGATCTTGCTTCTGATTGTACGGGACAACGAAAGCCATTAGAAGAGCATGTTCGTCATCTCACTGGCAGATCTGCCAGCTCCACATCTGGACGCGTGTACCCTGAACCCCCTTCTGTTATAAGGGGACCTGCCTGCTCCCACCCAAGGCTTCTCGCTTGCTCGCTGATGTCCCTCTTGCACTCGTTCTCTTGCCTGCATTATTGATTTTTGCCTCTCAATAGAAGCATTTCGTCAACATATTATGTTACAGTACCTCCAGTCTTAAAAAAAATTCCTGCAGCCACTACTCTATTTCTTTGCTCCCCTTAGCAGCAAAACTCATTGCAATAATTGTCCAAATTAGTTGTTTACAATTCTTTTTCCAATTCCCTTTTGAACTCACTTCAAATGGATTTTGTGTCCACAGCTTCATCAAAACTGTTCTTGTCAAGACCCCTGTTTCCTGCTCCACTGATAAATTCAGTGGCTGATCCTCAGTCCTCGTCTTACTTGGTCTGTCGGCAGCTGTGGACAGTTGGTCACTCCCTCCTTGAATCACTTTCTTAGTTTAGTTTCCAGGTCAGCAGACTTTCATGGTTTTACTTCTTCTCTAGCTCACTTCACAGACCTTTGTCCAGGTTTCCACACTTCTCCTGATTTCTT